CAAGAAGAAAAATTTAGATCAAGCAAGTAGGCAACAACAGTTCGCTCGTAACGTAGATGTCGAGTTATGGTTGAATGATGTTGAAGCTCAGATAGCCTCAGAGGATGTCGGTCGTGATCTAAACGGTGTGATGAACGCACAAAAGCGGCACAACTTGCTTGAATCTGATGTAGCTACTCATCGTGAACGTATAGATGCATTCAAAGTCCAGGCTGACACGCTTGCTGCAGAAAGTCATTTCGACGCTCCTATTATCCAAGAAGAACAAAGACAGTTAGCCCAACGTTACCATGACCTGCAAATCCCTCTAAGTCAACGTCGTGAGAAGTTAAGAGATGCCCTTCCCTCGGACACATCTTTGCAGCTTGAATATGGTGACTATATTGAGCTGATGAAGTTACTAGTCGATTGTTGTAAAGATTTTAAAGCATATTCGCTTAACCAAATCGAATCAGAAATGTGGCATCAGTTTGCTGAAAGCTTCACTATTGGCTCATTAGCCACTCACAAAGATGCCTTCAGGTTATGGGTTAAAGATAAGAACCCTGTTGTTGAAAAGTATATTGGGTTTATAGAGTCATACCGTGATCCCTTTGGCGTTCGTGCAAAGTTTGAGTCATTTGTCGCTGTTGTAAATAGGTCAGTGTCTAAAAAATGCCAACGACTTGTAAATAATGCTGAAAGGTTGTTAACAAGTTTACCATGGCCTTCTACGTTTGAAAAAGTTAATTTCTTACAGCCAGACCTTACTAGTTTGGATGTAGTTACGTTTGAAACTTCTGGAATTCCTGTTGGAACTAATATTCCTAACTATGATGATGTACGACAAGTTGATGGATTTAAAAATGTTTCTTTGAATAATGTACTTAGTGTTCGTCTCGAGGATCCTAAACCAGAATTTCTACGTAATGAAGACAAACAAATGTACGTGGAACATGCTGAAAGTTCCTTTGAATTACAAGCTGGACTTCATGAACTGATGGGATATAGTTCTGGTAAACTGTTTTGGCGTGATTGTTATGGAAAACGAAATTTCCACACGAAAACTACTGAATATGTCATAAATGGAGGTCCTATAAAAGGTTGGTGTGAACCAGGAGAAACGTATGACAGCAAGTTTCCAAACCTTCCATCTGCAATAGATAAGTGTCGAGCTGAGTGCGTTGGAATTTATTTATCTGATTTACCTCTTGTTCTGGAGCAGTTCGGTCTGAATACCAACTGTGCTCAAGGCAATGTCTCAGATGTAGTCTATATTAATTGGTTGTCAATGTCTCCTTCAGCTGTAACTTCCATGGAGATTTATTCTGCATGAGAAAATGCTGATGACATTGGATCATGGTGTCAAGCACATTATTGTGCTTGTTATGCGATTCTGCGAGTTTTCATTGAAGCTGACGATTCTATGGGACGTACACATAAAGTAGTCGGTGAGGACGATGCATCTGATTTGTGTATTTCCTTGGATCCAAAAAGACTTTTAACTGTGGCTCGTTCAGCAATTGGTGAATTCTTAAGAAAATTACAATATTACAAAGGTAAAACGAATGCTATGTATGGATATGCTTTCTCCCAACACTATAGTCAACTACTTCCAAAATATTTGACTGATTTGCTCTGGCATAAATGGCTACGTGGATATCTTCTGATGCTGCAAACAAGATCTAAGTGGTTGGATATAAAGCACAACCTACAACCTGATGATCTCGTCTTAGTTAACAGTGCTGACACACAGAGAGGTCTCTGGCGAAAGGCTATAGTTAAGCAGATGTACTATGACCAAGATGGCCACGTCAGGACACTGTGTTTGAAAACTTCAACTCAAGAAATGGAACAAGATATAAGAAGCGTACGAAAGGTCAACGTGGTGGTCGTTCGCGGGGAGTGTTAATCGCGACAGATAGATAGACTGTATGATAAACAGCCAATCAATATTATGTGACCTTTCTTGTCGCGATTATTGGCCAATTTATTGTAACTCTCACCACGTGATGACCTTGGATGTTCTTTTTTGTCTGTCACTTTACTTGTATATACATGTAATTAATTGACTGTTCATTTTGTCCGTACCTTCAATACTGTTCGGTACGTTTTTGTCCTATTTTTGTGATGACAATGGATTTGTACATTTTTCTTGGTGTAATTGTATGGTTTATTTTATGTTTTAGAAACAGATAAAGTTAAGTCAAGTCATCCTGTTTTTAACTATAGCTAAGCCGAGACTCTGTATCGTCAGTATTGAGGAGGGACTAAATCTGTAAGACAAAAATAATCCTACATTTACTATATTCCTTCTGTTGTGTATCTACTGGTTCCGACTATATTAGCACTATGAGTAGTACAAAATTTTCTTGTCATTAGCCATCATGTAATTATTAGTTTTGTAGTTGTTTTTTCTTATTTTTTTCGGCAATATTAAACTGACAATCATTGGTTGTGAACGCCATAGTCACCACCTTAAAAAATTTTTGTATTATGCAGGATTACTCACACTACCACTACAAACACTGCATTAGACCTGACAACAAAAAAACAAACCTGAAATGTTATTTTATGATTGTTTAGAGATGTTTCAACCAAATTAACTGACCATCTTGGCGATAAACATTCTTAAATATCATTTCATAACTTCTTGTATGACTATAGCTTTACTGTCACCATGCATAATCATATCATAGCTTCCACTACCCAATACTGAGATATCATTTATTATGTTGTTTATTTTCCTTTCTACTTCTTGGCATATTTAGCAATTTTTGAAAATTATTTTGTGTTTTTCCTGTTTTTTTTTTGCTGTTGGTGTCTTTATATTTATTATTTTTTTGAAATACTCCTTTTAAATGTTTGATAAAATTAGATGCAAATATTGTAGATATGTGCTGAAAATTCCACACTGTACCACTAGTACTGTTTCTGGAATAAAGCAAATAATAATAATAATTATTATTATTATTAATAACTGTACCATCCACCTACTCATTCCTACAAGTTTCAGGTAAACATTTGGGGAATTTCAACATCGAAATGTTTATTACGCCTGATTTTATCGAGATGAAAATAAGCTGCTTTTAATTCTACGTCCATGACATGCCTGAAAAAAGGCAAACATACTTATCGACAACTCTGCCCGCTTGCTATCGAACGTGATAGGCAGAAGTGATATATTAAGTAGTCTGGTAGAATTTTTAAAAATATTGATTGATTGCCTTACGATATCAGTAATACAATATATATCAAATGACGTCAATAAAAGCCTGTTATAAATGTCAGTCGTGTATCTGAAACTGCAGAGAATCGAAATTCACTAAAAGGAAATTGGTGCAAAAAGAGACTCCTCAGATGAATTTTTACATGGACTGACACACATTTCCAGCTACAGATTATGACGAATAATCGACTGATTCTACTGCTCCCAATACATTCACCTAATCCTACTCCAAAGATAATATGGTGGAGATATGTGGATGACACTTTCACTCACACAGTGTTGAAAACAGAACATATCTCTCTCTAGCTACTTAACAAATATAAACTCACAAGTAGAAGGAATAAAATTCACATTTGAATCACAAAATGAACAAGGAGAACTAGCCAAGATGCTAGATTGTAAGATAAAACGGATAGAAGAAGGCAAACTACTGCACACTAGTGTTTATAGAAAACCGACGCATTCTGCTAATAGATATTTAGACTTTAATTCATCTCATCCGTAGTTAACTGTTAAGGCAGGCTTAGTGAAGTGTCTGACAAACCGAGCCATAGCACTAAGTAGCACAAGAAAAGGCTTAAATGACGAAATAAAACAGATAGAAGAAGCGTTGGTGTTGAATAACTAACTATCCTATAAAATTCATTAAGAAGATCAGTAAAGGCCAAAAACAAAATAAAAATAATAATAAATAAGAGAGAATATAAGTCATCTACTGTTATACCAAATAAGGAGGGGACATCTGAACACTCCTACGTAGGATTCTCAATAAAGCAGGAATTAGGGTGGCATTCAAAACCTACAAAGTCACTCAGGGACAAACTTTGTAGGTTGAAAGACCCAGTGGACCCAATTGGACAAAATAATATAATTTACAAAATACCCTGCAATGACTGTCAGTTAGGTCAACTACATAGGTCAAACTAGTAGATCAGGGGTAGTCAGATTGTCGGAACATAAGAATTAAATGGTTGACCCCCAGAAGATAAATAATTTAGAGAAAAGCTCAGCAACTGCACTTCATGCATTAACACACAACCACACAATAGCATGGTGGGAGAGGGTTAAAATTCTAAGAAGTAATCTATGTAGGTGGAGATAGAGAGAGATTGATTACTGAATCCTGACTGGTTCATTGAGTCTACACCCAACACAAGACATGAAACAGAAATGATTCAATGCAAATACCAGAAATATGCATGGAAGATATTATTACCACCAGTCAGTCAGTCAGTCAAATCAGAAGAGGATAATAAATAATCTCGAATTTCTATTTCAATTAAGCACATCACAACATTCTAACAAGTTACTTATTATGACTATAAACAAAACACTCATCTTATTTCCCATCTGATTGTAGTTGATCAATAACACTCATATTATTATTGTTATTTCTGAATGTACACTATCTATATTACTGATTTTATTCAAATGTCTAATCATCAATTCCATTCATGTATATAAATGAAGGAAAGAAGTTGTTGTGAGTAACTTGATATGATTATGAGTGGCAATGATAATTTGTGCTCGAAACGTGGTCATCAGTTAATATTACTGTATAGTAGAACACTGTGTGACAATTTATCAAAATCAAATCTTATCCATAATGCAGTATTGTCCATTACTAGTTTCACAATTATTTTGCTTTTGTATTCTGTTTTTTTTATTCTTTTCTAATGTGTAGTTGGATTACATTCTTATTGTTGTCTGTCTCCTATTGGTCGATTTTAATCTAAATTTCAATTGGTCCATATCTCTGCTTTTATATTTACATGTTGAAAAAGTCGATCGTAGCATTTTGATTGTTCTCTTCGGACATCCATTACGCCTGATCATTTTCATCATTATCATCAACATGATTTTCTCTCGCCTGCCTTTAATTGCCTTGCGTAACGCGAAATTTCCACTACGTCAAGCTCATTCGAAATCTGCCTGTGAAAAACAAGGAGTACTGAAATGGGCATGTCAAAACTATCCAGTTGTCTATCTTGGAGGATTAATCTTTGGAGCTGTTTCCGCGATAACACTTTACACAATACGATGTTTACTACAGAATCCTGACCTGTTTCTTCCATTCTATGATAAGATTCCACGTGATGAATACTACTTTGATAAACATTATTTTGGTGCAAAACAACCCGAGAATATGGATGTCCTCCCGCCAGTTCGAATGCATCATGATGGAGTACTAGAATTTCCATATGAAAATCATAGTAGAAAGTATGTGCATCCTCCTGAATAATAATAATAATAATAACATTATTATTACATGTGATGCTATGACTACTGATGAACACAAAGAAGGTTAGTCATTATTGTCAGTGTTGAATTTCTCACCAAAATCATCATATTCTACATCTTTGCATAGTTCAAAGACAATAAATTGTTGTTTTTTGTTTTGTTCCCTCTGACTTCTTTATTCCTCTCTCTTATATAATCGAAATAAAAGCATTCAATGCAGATGGAATTAATCGCCTACATTCGATGGTACTCTTTCCCCATAATAATAATAATAATTATTATTATTATAAGAAAAGGCACAAACAGCGAAGAAGAAAACTTTCTTTTTGACGATTACTCATTTTCATGAGCTGCTGTACAATCGTAATTATATTAGACAAAGAAATCTTTACACCAATCAGATACTGGTAAATTTTGTCCTTGGAAAATTGTATTACATAATGTAAGGTGTAACCTAGAAGGGATGACTAATTGTAAGTTAGAAAGGAGACAACGTCGTTGGTATGACGTAATAAGTGTGAGATAGTGAATAATCAATAATCTCGTGTAAAATGGACAGGAACTAGTGGAAAGGCTATAAAGTGTTTTTATATAAAATATGTATGAAAAGCAATGTTATTAATAAACAGTAATAGAGTGGTAATAAAATGTGGATGATGGGGACAATAATGATAATGAAAGTATTAATAAAATAAAATAATAATAGTAATAATAGTGAACTTACATAATAAAGGAAAGAAGCGAAATTGTGGTGAGAACTTTACTCTGGCCATGGTAAGGCAAAAGAATGTATGTATCGCTTTTGTATGCAGAGGTCCGGTTTTAGATCTCGAATAGCTAATGCTTCAGCTATGTACAGATGGCGAATCCGAAGTTCCTTTGTACGATATTAAGGGACTCTGTGTAACACTGTGAAGCATTCATCAAGTGGGGGTGCTCGATATCCAGAGATGACAAGGTGTTCGAGGATCGAGCTGTTACTATTCTTCTTTTCTCCTCTGGATAACCAAGCTGGGCAGTGTTCCAGAATACGTTTTTGGACTTGACGTTGCGTACGGCCAATATACTTTGCTCCACACGAGCAAGTAAATTGATAAATACACATTGAGGTGGCGAAAAGCGGTATCTTGTCCTTAGCGTTAGACTGGATTAACTGTCTGCAGGAGAATGTGATACGTAGAGTGGCTGTTGGAAATGTCTTCTTCAGACATTTAGAAAGGCGGTTTCTGAGAATTTCCGCTGCGACATCACCTTTGAATTCTAGGTTCATGAAGAGAGTCTTCTTAGGAACCGTTGCGATGTTTGACACCGGAGGCTTCTCCTTCATGATTTTGTCAATAAATCTTGGTGGATACCCATTCTCTAGTAGGGTTTTACGTAATAAATTTAATTCTTTCTGTAACATGTCTTCCGAGCAGATTTTAATCCTTGAGCACAACGTACGTACCAGGTTTCTCTTTTGGATTAGTGGGACAAAGCTCTGGAAGTAAGTAAAAACACACTTTTTTTGTTCAGCGAAGAAATTTCTTTTCAACGACTTCATTTTCAAGCTGTACAGTCGTATTTATATTACAGAAAAGGTCATTAAGTGGCACTAAATAATTGCTCAGTCAATATACATATATGTGATAAGAATAACGATAATTAAAATGTTATAAGGGGTAGAGTTGAAGTGGATAAATTACAAAATTATTAAAGATTGTTTTATAAGTGAATTGAAATCAAAAATGTTTTTAAAATGTCAAGTGTTGTCTAAAAAATTTTATAAAATAAGAGTACGATTACGATAAGAATGAAGATGTGAAGTGAAGTGGAAAGAATTCAAGTGGTAAAATAAAATAAAGTAGAAACTAGAAAGAACATTACTATGACCAAGGTGAAGAAAGGGGTTTGACAAAACGTTTTTGAACACATAATTTAGGTTTCTGTTCATGTATAGCTAAAGCTTCGGCTATGCATAAGTGAAGAAAACGTAAACTTTTGGATCGATTCGATTTTGCCATGTAGATAACTTTGAAAGATGAATCACGTGGGGCTAAATGACCTGACTCTAACAGGTGATCACAGATAGACGACTTCGTGGTTCTACGTTCGCCTTTCATTAACCAGACTGGATAGTGTTCAGCTACACGTTTTCGGAGATTACGCTTACAACGTCCAATATAAACCGCTCCACAAGAGCAGGTAAAAGAGTAAATACACATGGATGTGGACAAAAGCGGTAATCTATCCTTGACGCATTGTCTAATCATATTTCGGCTGGTAAAAACTAGTTGTAAGTCAGCTGCAGGAAAAGTACGTTTAATACATTTAGATAAACGATTTTTAATCAATTCCGAAATGGTGTCACCTTTGAATGCCAGACTCATAAACAGTTTCTTCTTTGGCACTGTAATTTGTCTAGGGGCGGATTCTTTCTTGATGTTACGTTCGATAAACCTTGTAGGATAACCATTGTTAAGGAGATTTGATCGAAGCTTATCTAGTTCACTATCGATTGTCTCTGCAGAGCAGATTTTACGAATTCTAGAGCATAAGGAATGAATAAGATTTCTCTTTCTCCCTAACGGTACCCAACTGTTGAAGTTAGTGTACTGCCCAGTGAATGTTGGCTTTCGGTAAATCAACCTTAGCAACGTACTATTCTCTCTTCTATCTAGCTTTACATCAAGGAAGTGAAATGAGGAATTAGACTCTTCTTCGACCGTGAAAAGCAAAGATGGGTGAGAACCATTAAATATTCCAAGAAGTTCAGCAGTTGAAGAGTTTTCGTCACATACAATGAAAGTGTCGTCTATATATCTTTTATACATAGACAAACTACCGATGGTTTCCTTTAGTGGGCCATTCTCTAAGCTAGCCATGAAGACGTCCGCTAAGAGCGGTCCTAAAGGAGAACCCATTGCGACTCCATCCCTTTGATTGTAGATGACATCATTAAATCTAAATTGCACATTCAGTGTGCCCATATATGTATATTGACTGAGCAGTTATTTAATGCCACTTAATGACCTTTTTTCTGTAATATAAATATGACTGTACAGATGAAAATGAAGTCGCTGAAAGAAGAAATTTCGTCGCTGAACAAAAAAACTGTTTTTACTTATGAATAAATGGGTATTTTTCGTGATTATTATTATTGGCAAGTTGTTCTGTAGTATAGTTGTACTGTGCACAGTGACAAAAGATAATCGCTTTGTTTATCAAAAGAGCATACTGAAATCAAGGTAGGCTTTTTAATAACTCAGAACAAAATATTTAGAGCGAACAATTGTTTTCAATAAATTCTTCTTCAGGCTCTACAATTGTAAATCCATTAATTTAAGCATACAATAGCCAGTAAAGGCAAATTAGAATCATATCAGAAAGTGTATTGTGGAACAAGTGTAAGATTGGATGGAACAATAGTCAGTTAGTTTTATTTAATATGCATGGTCAATGAGAGCATGGGACAAAATGAGATGAAGTAATTTAATTTAATGATGTGCGTGTATGTGTATACAATATAAATATAGTCAACAGAAAAATACAGATTTCGAGAGTGTGTGTAATCAGGGTGTGTGAGACAATATGAAAATAAACCAACAAATGGGGTGGACTAGACATAAGTTCAAGGTTGAAAATAACGACAATAAGAATGACTGTAAAATAATAATGATGATATGGTGTAAAATTACAAGTAGTATTGGTGAATGATTGTCAAATAATAATAATGAATATAATGAAGTAGAATGAACAGGATTTTCTATAGTTTGGTTTGTAAGGGTTAGTTATGTTTTACGAGTTGATCACGGACTGATATCAGTTAGAGAACCATTGAAAACCAGGGAGTACTGGACAGCTGCTGTTTCATCCTAGTTTGGGAATCATCGGCAGCACGCACCCACCACCAAGGTTCGAACCCAGGACCTTCCGGTTACAAGGCGAGCTCGTATACCATTCAGCCACTGGGACCCGATTCAATGGTCAGTACATGAATTCTAACTTCTACCAATTCGTGATTTAGCGTGACCCCGACCATTGTCGTTGGTGGGACATCCACCCACACACGTGACATCTAATTGGACCTCACTGGTCACGACTTCTCACTAGAACTCCAGGAAACTCCACCCTGTAGCAAGTCACTAGCGAGCATCAGATTAATTTTCTATAGTTTGGTTTTTAAAAGTTAGTTATGCATTTTACGAGTTGAATCGGGTCCCAGTTAGTGGCTGAATGGTATACGAGCTTGTTTTGTAACCGGAAGGTTCGAATCCCAGTGGGTGCGTATTGCCGATGATTCCCAAACTAGGATGAAACAGCAGCTGTCCAGTACTCCCTGGTTTTCAATGGTTCTCTAACTGATATCAGTCCGTGATCATACTTCTCCTGTATGCAAAGAGATGGTCTTCTGGTGTTACTTGCCACCGCTTCAGCTACTGATAGAAGACGCAGTCGAGCTCCTCTAGATAAATTACTCAGAACGCGGTAAATAACTGAGAACGCCTGGTCAAGTTTTATCGGGTGTCCAGTATCTACCAAGTGGGCTGAGACTGCACTATTTACACATTTGGTCACTCCTTTACTCAACCATACAGGTACATGTTCACGCGCGAGCATGGATAAAGCCCTCTGAGTACGGCCAATGTAACTAGCTCCACATGAGCAGTTGAATTCATAGATACACATTGATGAGGCCATCTTTGGTAATTTATCCTTTACTTGCTGTGTGAGTGCTGGTTTAGTTGAGAAGTTGAGTTGAGCAGTTTAGCTGCAGGACATATTCTATCTACTGCTCTATTAAGTCGACATTTTAGAATGTCAGCTGCAATTTCCCCTTTGTAATTTAAGATACAAAGGTTTGTTTTCTACAGTATCCACCTTTACCTTGTCTGTAGGTATTGACATATACTTTTTTAGGAAGCTCTGTGGATGTCCATTTTCTTGCAGTGTGAATTTCAGTTTGTGCATTTCTTCTTTTTAATAACTTTCTAATTAAACAACTTCTCTGAGCCTACCTAGATATATCTTTTGTGTACTGTTCAAACGGCGTAGTAGAGTTTTGACTATGACTTTATAACCCCGAGTACTGAATGTGTTATTAGCTGGTCGTAATTGACAAAATGACCATCTTTATGAAGATAATGCTTCTATAGATAATTATTACTCTACCATGAACAGCTGATCGAATGATCCTCGGTGAAGACTTCTATTTAGTGCTTGCTTCTGTTAACGCTGGTGAGAAATCACACATTTGTCCCTGACAACATATTAACTGGCTTCATGAAAAAAAAGGTTGGGCGTTCGATTCCTTGGGGTGTGGGGGTGGTGAGTTCAAGCGGCTGAAGAGTAGTCCTTAACTAGAACGAAAAAGCTGTGCAGCGTTTCTCTGAATTCATATTGGT